TCTGGCAAACCCCCTACTGAAATAATGCGCAGACAGGGAGAGCCTTTGCGAAGGGCGCCAACCTGACCACTACTATTTTCAAGGCATATTTCAGCAGAGAGAAGATTGACCTACCCGAAGACTTTAAAATAGTTTTTGAAATGAGGAGATTCGTGGCCTTCGACTTCACGGAAGACCACAGTGGTTTCATTGTGCAGAAACATCAGCTTCACCGCCTTGTCCTCGCGCTCTCCTCGCATATCCTAAAGGTGAACAGAAGAAACATGTACATGAATAGAGGCGGAAAGCCTAATTTCTTTCACTATTCCAGGTGAACGACAAAAAACTCTTCCCTGCCAACAAATCACTGACTGAGGCCTATTAGACACTCACCTCCCCTAGCAAGAACTTCAAACGTTACAGTTGTCAAGAGAACTATATACGTTTATCATGATTAACAAGAACCACGTCTTGAAAATATGAATGTTCCTATAGATTCCTGATATGAGGGATGCGTGAAACCAACTTTGCTCCCCTTATTAGAACACAAGAGCTCCTGTTATAACTTTGTCTTTGGACTTTTTCCACTGTAGGGTACGCTTGTCGGAGAAGCCATTAAATTTGCATTTATATTCTTAATAAGTGCACATTCCGAATGCATACGAATTAAAATGATAGAATTCACATGTTCTCTTCTATTGCTGCATCTCTTTATCTGACTGGATAAAAAATTCATATAAGTATGTGTTCTATCCATTCAGTGAAACTGTACAATAATTTCACTTACCAAATAAAAAATATTCCACTGTTAAAAACCTAGTTTCATGTGATCCTCCAAAAATCTAGATGCGTCATTTGACCGGAATTTACATAAACGTACTAATTGGTACTGGCACTGGCTTACTGGTAACTTTCCTTGTCTTTCGAAGCATTTCGGAAAAAAACCTGGGTATTGATGTTGAATAACAGGATAACATAGTAGTATAAAACTGAACATGTCTATCTATCAACTTCGCGAAAAACAAATGAATTGGATTTGCCTTTAACGACGAAGATGAGCGTGATTATAGCGATCTAAAATTATCTCAGGTGTTTTTGAAGTTTTTCCGTAAGCCATAAATGGCTATGCTGTTTAAATCGGATGAACCGCTGAATCACCTTTGTCTGAAGGCTAAAAACTGTTATACTGCCAGACACCTAAAATAGAAAGAATTAAATATCAAATACGTGTTTGTTTCATTGCACGTCCATGAGCCACCTTGTCCGCTATCAACCTAAATTCCTTATATTTTTTGGAGGATGGGTTTTTCTAATGGAACTATTAGACTTTATGATAAATTCATATCTTTATTTGCGTGCTAGGGCAACGCATACAGCATCCTAAATAGCTGAATGTTTACATTTGTCCATAACACATGCATTAAATCTTTTGAAGCGTTTGCTATTAAAAGTCCGTTTTTCTTTTATAGCCCATTTCACCAGGTAAATTCTGCGATATTTTTAGGCTCACTAGTTCTGCTAGACTTTTAAGCACCCCAGTATGATAAAATCCATGGCTACTTCAAAATGAGTCTTATAGGGATTATATAAACGTTAAGCGCACTGTTTTTTAATCATGCATTTGGAGTATTGCCATTGCTCAAAGAAATATCTTTATGCTAGTAAACAAAGGTTATGAGAAAACGTAAAAGCACAAAACTGACGGGAGAGCACTTACGTCCGCCTTTGCTTTTCCAATCCAAAAGTGAATGATAAATTCCAGTTTCCCATTCCTCATGACCGTGTTTACAACGATAAAGATGTCTTCGCTAAAGAAGAAGCCTACATCTTCGTCGGGGATTCTTGCCGGCTGTCCATCATCCTGAAACAGTAAATAGCACATAACTGTGTTTCAGAAGGAATCTTTTTCGAAAAGGAAACATAGTTATTGGAAAATCGGCATCCCAAGAAGTATAATTATGTAGGGGAAGCACTTTGTGAAAGATGGTTTATTTGGTGAATTTTCATTGCTGGAACCCTGCTTCGTCAGACTCCGAATCCAAAAAGATGGCGAACGCTTCCATATATTACGAACGTGTCCGAAC